GTCTGGCATTTATTGCACATCAGCCCTTGGACCCAGAAGCTGAAGCTCGTCTGCAACCCACGGGATGAGACATTTTGGATCTTAAAGAGGGAGAGGTCACCAAGAAGCGGTTTGGACACATGGGGTTCCGTGTCTCGCTGTAGCATGGCCTGGGGAAGCGCAGATGGGCTGGAGAAGCTCGAGATGAAAAATGACAGCAACTGCCCTGAGGCAAGTAAAGACCAAATCAAGCAGAATAACACGGGAACCTCTTCATCAGGTGCCATGGAAAACACAGGCTTCTGTCCTTGGCTCGGCTCAGACATAGCTGGAGGAGGTGGGGCCGCCTCTCCGAGCTCCCTGACTACGACATCTTTTTTTTTTCTCCTCAAGTGGATTGCAAGGTTCAAATGCTCCCCTTATGTTTAGAAAAATCAGACTGGAGAAGCTCTCAGCCATACGAGTCTCCTTGAGGAAAAACAAAAGCGTTGGCACAGCCGTCAACACGGAGGAGAGCGCAGGGAAGCTCAACTCTGGAAACATGGCGTGGCTGGGGGAACCACAGCCTGGGGCTGCTGTGCCTTGCAGAAGAGCATTTTTTGGGGTGCATCAAGCAAAATACCTGGCTCACATCCTGGGTTTGGATAGACCCACGCTGCTGGTGAAATGCTGAGCCCACCCCTCATGGGGGTGGGCAGAAAAATCAGCGTTGTTGTTGGGAACAGCACAGTCCTAACAGTGGATCTTGTCTAACACCCACAGTCTGAGAGGCAGATGAAAGGACAGGGACACCAGGTCCTCTCCGTGGCTTCCCTGCATCCATCCCAGCCAAACCCTGTGGTTTGTCCAGACAAACCTGTCTGCTGAGGCAGGAATTGAGTGTGATGGGAGTCAGGATGATCACACTGGTCTGGCAGAGCCCTTGCCAGCCCTTCCCTCCTCCTGCGCTCGGCAGTGGGATGTGTTGCCAGCCCTTCACCTCATTATCACCATCTCACTGCAGCAAGAGCAGCAGAGCCCAGCTGAGGTTTGGAAAGGTCTTTAGAGGTCACGCTGTCAAGTGCCTTGTAATCACAGGCACTCTGTAGTTTATTCCTCTTCCCGAGGTTCTCTTGGACAGCAGCTGGATATCTCCTTACCCACCCAGCTGAGGGGGGCACAGGGAAATCCAGCAGGAGCAAAAAGAACCAAATAGTATCGTGATCTTGGTTTCTAAATTCTTCTGTATTACAGGGATGGAGCACCATCCATCCCAGTGCACAGGAACTTTTGGGAAGCCAAGAAGAATGAGGTATTCCCATTTCAGTGTTACCAGACGGGCTGCCACGCAGCTGTCCCGTTTGTATTTCTCGTTTTAAAACTATAAATAAAGAACAAACCCACAAAGAAACCCAGTTCCCACACCAAGTCCATTTGAAAAATGTATTTTTTTCATCCCCACTGTGGTTTATTTGACTAATCTCTGGGGGGGAGTGGACTCCAGAGATGAGATCCCATATCATTATGGTGAGGGGTCTCCTCACTGCTAGAGATTTTCCTTTATAAAAACATCCCATATTTCTTGATTAAAAAAAAAAAATACTTGCCCTTCTTTCCTTCCTCTGCCCCATGTGCTATTTTTTCCCTACATCTCGGGAAACAAAGTCGCTCTTTTTCTGAGCTGGTGATGTGCCCCTCAGCATATCTACTGAGAAGGAGCAACAGCTTGTCAGGTCCTCAGTAGCTCCAGGGAAATGCTGATTGCAGGATATTCATGCCTGTGGAGGTGGGAGACATGGAGGACTGCTAAGAAGGTGTGTGAGTGACTGGCAGCTCTTAGACAATTCTTCCCTGCTCCTTTCACCTTGGATGTCCTCTCTGAGCTTCTGAAGCAAGGATAGCTGCACCTGCAGGGAATTCCAAGTCCTGGAACTCACAGAATCCCGGAGTCTTGAATGCCAACTGCGAATCCCTTTGCCTTTCAGGACAACTTGTTGGGAGCTGTTGGATGCTTCAGGGTGAATCTTAAATCAGGAAAATGGAGGCACAAGGTTTGAATTCAGCCTCTGGATCCTGAAGGGGGACTTTGGGAGTGCCACACCTGGAAGAACAAGGTGACAGTAAGATGATTGTGGGAATGGAGTTCATGTGTACCCCAAGGCCAACCACAGAGCTGTTGTAGGAGCAAACCTGTTGCGCACGTGAAGAATGAAGTTGTTGCCACTTCATTGCTGGAGCTGCCTGTAGGGAGAGAAAACAGCATCTACAACTGAGTCAACAGCCTCACAGGCATCCCTGAAAGCTACCTCCATCAACCAGAGCCGGGCTGGTGTCCTGCATAATTCCCAAGTGAGGAACAGGTCGGGTTCACAAACACCTAAGGAGCGGCTGAACCTCTTGTAGTGCAGTCACCTGCTCCTGCAGGTGCACACTTTGGTGAAGACCTGTGCATGGGGCATCGTCCTCGGGGGATGGGTGGATAACAGGGTCTCTGAGCTCAGTATTGGGAAACAGCCAGTGCTTTCCTGCAGCCCAGAGAGCCGGGGATGGGATGGGATGGATGGGGATGATGGCAAAGTGATGCCAGGCTGGTCCTGCCTTTGGAGAAGGCTGGCTGGGCTTGGGAACAGGGGGGTAGCAAAGCAGGTAATGCTGTCACTGGCAAGAACTGGGTTTATCTTTGGATACTGGGTGGGAATACACCATCTGCTCCGCCCGGGTAGTCTCTGCTGCCTCAGCCAGCTGGGATGGGGCGAGTGTCGGGATTGCGTGGGGCTGAGCTGGGATGAGTCAGCTGTCCCCTGACCAGCCCCCCAACAAGCTGCAGCACCAATTTTCTGGTGTAGCAGCTCAAAGCAGAGATCAATAGAAATAACTAGTTATGTGTATAATCTCTTCCCATCTGTCTCTTCTGTCTGTCGTTTGTATCAGCTGGATTCAGCCTAATCACGGGCCAGAGCTGTCGTGATGGCCTGTAAGATCCTCTCTCCTATAACCCCTAAAGTGTCTCTGATTCTTCGTGCCAAGAACGTGGCTGTTGGCTTTGGTGAGGCTGAGATTTGCAGATTTAAGGCTTTAAGTAGATATTGTCTCCCCAGACCTCTGTGATGCTTTCTCACAAATCCCGTTGTCCAGCACGAGGAGGAGTTTTCGGGGCTGACACCCCAAGTGATGGAAGTGGTTGATCTCAGAGCAAGGAACCAACTTTGCACCTTTATCCTTAAGACCTGCTGCGACTGTGCATCAGGATTTTGGCATTTAATTCGTTTTATAAGATCCCATTTGTTGAGGGTTTGCCTTTCTCTCAGGATTTTCTTTTATTTAGTAGGTGTTTTATCTCTTCTAATGTGCCCAGAGGAGTTTTGGGTGCATCTGTGCTGTTGAAGAAGGGTTGGCATTAAGGAAAAATTTCTATCTCTTTGACGATTGAAGAAGCAGGAGTAGGGGTGGGGGGTGAAATTTAAGCAGGGCCTGAAAAAGAAGAATCTGTGCCAGACAAGAGCCAGATGGACAAAAGCCACGACACAAATCTAAGCCCTTGACAGCAGCAGCTTACCTGGCTCTGGCAGCCCAAGCAGAGCACGTAACGTGGGCCTGGGGAGCCTCTGCAGCCCATAAACTTCAGAGCAGTTTGCAAAAAATAACCCCTTGCTTTTTTGCATAACAGCTTTCACATGGAAGGAGTGTGAGCGCTGTTGACGTGCAGCAAACAGCAGCACTGCGGGAGGGGAGGGGAGGGAGAGCAGTGGGAATCAGCCCCAGGAGCTGGGTTAATGGGATCAACGTCCATATAGGACTCGTTTGGCATGTGTCTTAATTTCCTGGTTTGTAAGAAATGAGTTTTATATTATAGGTCTTATTTTTGCGCTTGGCATAGAGCTGGACCCAGTGATTGCCTAAAAAGCCTCCTTATGTTACAGGCAGCTCTGATTTCCCCCAAATAACACTGTGCCCCTGCTGCTTTCCTTAAACATCACATAACCAGCTTCAGATTCAGCAGAGAGGGAAAGTGTTGGGATAATTGTCAATAAATAGCAGGGCATTTACTTTACTGAGTGTGTCATTCAGTCCTCAGCAAAGAGCTGGGCAAGCTCAGGGAGTTGTCTCTCATGGCCAGTGATGGATCTCCTGTTGCTGGGGCTGTTCTCGAGTAGACTGAGCTAAAACAAACTGTGAGAATCAACAGTGAGTGGAAAAGTGTGGGATTTAGGGTATATGACATGACGATGGAGGAGGAGATAGTTCCCACTGTAACTGCATAAAGTTCCTCCCCAGGTGTAGGGAAAGTGCGTGCTGGTTTCAAAGGGAGGTCATTAATAATAATGTTATTAGCATCTAATAAGTGTTTTTCATCTCTGTGCTGCTCAGACATAACTCATCAGCATGTGACAAGTTTCTGGCAAGGTTCCTCCTGCCGCACAGGATTTGGGACAGGTCTCTCCTGTCTGTTCAGAGGTTGCCCCGAGCCAAAGGCAGGATGGTGGTTTGCATGGAGCTCCTGTCCCACGGGAGCACCATCCTGCCACGGAGCCCTGCTCAGCCTTTGGCATCACTGGGAGCTAGAGAGGTGCATGACATGAATAGCAGCCTCAGAAGATGGTTGAACTCTGGATCTTTAGTATTCCCTTACTGTATGACCTCAGCCATCCCTTTCCCATTCCTGTGGAGAGTCACCATGTTGCTTCCTTTGCTTTTCTTGTCTTTAACCTTTTTTTTTTTTTCCCAGGGCCTTTCCCTCTGCAGAAATGGGAATTTCCAAAAAAATCCAAGCAGGATCCTCCCTTTCCACACTCCCAGGGAAGCACACAAGGAGCAGCCCTCCCAGGCAGGGGCTGCTTAGTGTCTTCCCCAAACCTCACCCCCTCTTGAACAACCCAGTCCTGAGACCCACTGACCGCATGGGTGGGAGAGCAAGACCTCGGATGTTCCTGTGATCCTTCAGGCCTGAGGATGCTTTGGGATTTCATGGCTAAATAACACCTGGAGCTCCATGGAGCCTGGAGATCCCAGAGTGACGCTGTCCCTTCTCTGTCCACTTCTAGCTGTCCAGGAGGAGAGGCAGCGGGGGAAGGACCGCAACGAGAACGAGGTGGAGTCGACAAGTAGCGCCAACGAGGACATGCCTGTGGAAAAGATCCTGGAAGCTGAACTCGCCGTGGAGCCAAAGACAGAGACGTACATCGAGGCAAACATGGGCCTGACGCCGAGCTCGGTGAGGCGCCTCCTCCCCCTGCCCACTGGGGACACAAAGGGTGGCTTTGGGGCATCAGCAGAGCTGGCCACGAGTGCAGCAGCGAGCCTAGAGGGGGGTTGTCTTGTGGGAGAAGAAAGAGCTCAGAAGTGCAACTTCTTGCCTCTGCTGTCGACTCCATGTGTGAGCTTAGGTGGAAGCCCCTGGAAAGCAGACCCAGCAGCCAGCAGCACTGGTACTGTTCCATCTCACAGCCACAGGGAAGGCACAGATACTGTGAGGCATAATTAGGAGGGCTCACAGAGGAGATTTTATTTTAATTAACAGCCCTCAGTGCTAAAAGGCAGAAAGCCACTCCATGCTCTGAAGAGCTCAGAGTCCAATGGAGCCAATAAACAGACCTGCGTGGCTGAAGTGCAGAGAGATAAGAGCTGTAAACTGAGGGTGTGACTTTTTCAGAGGCAGAATTACACAGCTGCTTGGCTCTGAGAAGAGAAAAGCTGCAGAAATTTGCCTAGAGATTTGCTTTCAAGTTCCTTTCCCATTTAGAAACTTGCATTAGAACTGGGCCCCCTTGGAGCATCTGGGCTCTAACAGGACCTTGTGTAAGCAAGAGAGAGATGACAGGGAAATGGGACAGGACTTGGAGCAACCTGGCATGGTGCAGTTCTTAATGCTCTCTGCTGGGTGTCTGTGAGGCTGAGATGATGAAATGCAGCTATTTCTAGCAAGTGGAAGGACTCTGCAGTATTCATGTTCTGCTACAATAATACTTCATCTCTTCCTTTACACGAGGCTTGGAGGATTGGCATGGGGGTTGGAATGAGGTGATCTTTAAGGTCATTTCCAACCCAAACCATTCTATGATTCTGCTTGGTGGGGCTGGACAAGAGATTTCAGAGTCAGGCTGCTCCTAAGTCTTAAGTGGCTCTGTGGGATCCTCTTTTTGGCCTTTACCTGCAAGGACATCGTAGGGCTGGATGCCTTAGGTGAGGCTTTTCAGTGAGTATGGTGTGGATAGGGCTGATTTGGACCTTCAAGGCTTCCTGATATGGACAGAGCCAATTCCTCAGTGAAACTCTCTGGAATCAGATACAGAGTGTGGTGCTCACCTGCGTTTGAGAGGAGGGTCCCATCACCATGAAGCTGCAAGGGACTTCTTTTCGTTTTGGAGGAAGAGGCAGCTGAGCCGTGGTTAGTGAGGAGCTCAGAGAGGCTCTGACTGCTCTCAGGATTTAAAAACACTTCAGGGGAGTCAGAGCCAGCGTTGTGCTGACTTGAAAACAAACCCCAGAGAGCGAGCTGAAATAAATGGCTTCGTCTGGCACTGCGTCTCCTCAGCCTCTTGTAGCAAATTGAAAGCCGGTTCCTGCATAATTCAACACGCATTACTGTGAACAAGGATGTGTGTTGCATCTAAATAGAAGCAGGAGGCTTGTTGAAATGCCCTATTATTGTCAGGCGATGAGGTGACATTTGTAGCAGGTTTAGCAGATGTATGAGATCAGCAGCTCGAGGCCACCGGATGAGGCGAGGGAAGACAGAGGAGGTGCCGTCCTCCCAGCCCTCCCCTGGGAGCCCAGGTGATGGAAAGGCAGGCAAATGGAGTCCCTGACAGACACGGGGTAGAACACAAGCTGTTTGCTGTTAGCCTGGTGTGTTGGGTCCTTTGATTTGTGCCTCTACCCCTTAGTCTGTCTGCACTGAATGCTTCTGGTGACCTGCAAGGACACCTCCACCTGGCCGTGCCAGGCTGGGATGGAGGTGGCAGGGTGATGTAGGAGTTAACACCCTCCTCTCCCACACAGTATCGTGGAGTAGTTTGGGTTGGAAAGATCAAGGTCAAGCCTGCCATGGGCAGGGACACCTTCCACTATCCCAGGTTGCTCCAAGCCCAGTCCAACCTGGCCTTGGACACTGCCAGGTCATCCTCTTCACTGGGCAACCTGTGCCAGGGCCTCCCCACCCTCACAGGGAAGAATTTTTTCCCAATATCTCATCTAAACCTGCTCTCTTCCAGTTTTGAATCCATCCATTCCCCCTTGTCCTGTCACTACATGTTCTCATGCCTGTCACCTTGTGCCGTGGTTCCCTGGCTGCTCTTGGAGCAGATACCTGTCCCTGGACAATGAGGATGGGTTTTCCTCTGCCCCCTGTCCCTGGCTGCTGGGAATCTGTGCTCCTGTGGTGTAAGCACCACCTTGGATGGGCTCCTGACCGCTGAAAGGCAAAGCCTGTAACTGAGAGGTGTTATCCCCATTAGCTCTTAATTGGCCTTTGATGTCTGGTTTCAAGTCACCAGTTTCTGGAAGATGCCTCCAAGCTCCAGTTTTCCAAGAGGATCAGGTGCCCTTTCGTTCTGTCACACTCCAGCACCCTGCCCTTGCTATTTACTGCAGGAGAGGATTTGCTTTCCATGCAGAGGGAAGGTTTCCAGCCCCTCTGTGCCCAGGCAGGGCCCTCTGGATCTACAGGGAGGATACTTTTAGCTGCCTCTCACTCCATGGTGATTAAGTTCTGCCAGGAAGCGCTGTGGTGGTTCCAGGAATTGCCACCTGAGGTGTAATTAAAGGCTGGGCCCCTCGCTGAGGCTTTGGACAGAGCACCAGAGGTTGGGTACAGCTTGTGCTGCCCACAGAGCCCCAGTGCCAGCCTGGGCTGGGGCACTTGCAGCCCAGCTGGTGAGTCCCAGAGATGGTGACAACCTGCCCAGAAGCCACCTCTGGTAAAAGCTTTGGTAAAAACATCTTACTTGCCTAAAATACCCCTTTTGTGGGGCTGTGCAGGCACTTGCTGGGTCAGGTTGTGCTGGAGCATGGACAGATGGGAGCATCCTATAAGTCATGTCCCCTCTGGGGCACACAGGGCTCCATCCCCATCCCCATCCCATCCCATGGGAGCCAGGACGCCGGGTTTCTCCACCTGGATGCTCCAGTTGACCAAACTGAGATGGCTTGAGGTTGGAGACATTCCTGTAGGCTGCACCACAGTTGTTTCCTCTTTTCTCCCTCGGCCAGGTAAAAGCCTGACCCCTGCTCACATCTCCCTCCTCAGGGGAGAGCCTCAGCTCCCTGGGGGTGAGACCCTCCTGCCCTTGCCCCCCTCAGGTAGCTGCTGGAGAGGAGCAGAGCAGGGGGGCCCGTCCCCATAGCGGTGCCAGCCCCTTCCCATCCATCTCTGCACGCAACAGGTGAAAATACTTCGAAGGCGGGTGCCCTGAGCTTGCCAGAGCCTGGTTATTTTAAGCCTGGAGAATGGGAGGTGGTGGCCATGAGGCACAGAGTTTGGGTTTGATGCCAGGGGACAGCAGAGAGGGCTGGGCCAGGGTCTGGGGCACGGCTCTGGGGGGGCAGGAGGGTGACTGAGCAGCATGACTCTTGTTTGTCCAACCTGGGAGAGGGGCTTGCTGTAGCACCAAGTGGTGAGGAATGGCCTTGCAGGGGGAAAGGTTACACTGGTGTTCGTGCCTGCTCTGCCTCTGAATTCACACCCCTTCCCCCTGCAATGCAGGGGTGAAGTAAACACTGCTCCTTCTGCTTTGGAAACTGCTCTTTTAAGGACATGGAAGAAAAATAACTGTGCAGTCCAGGCTGCTAGATATCAGCAGGGATTACGGTGGGAGATGTGGAAGGGCTCATACATCCCTGTCCAGAGAGGTAAACCCTACACACACACTTGTACCAGTGAGCTCTGCCTCAGTCAGGGTTAGACAGGCTCTTCCAGTTCCTAATCACAAGCCCACTTGAGCTGTTAGCAGTTCCTTTAAACAGGGATTTGGTGTGTTTAGGCTGACTGTCCTCCTTGAGAGCAGATGGTTTTTGTTACTGGATAATATTTCAAAGGAAAGGAGTTTTCCCTTTTTTTTCCTGTAATGCCCCCTCTGGTGCTGGTTTATCGAGCTGGGAGATGCTGGCATGGGGAGCCTGCCCTTCCCTGGGCTGGAGGTCCTTTGATTCATCAGTCAGTGTGATGGATATTGCTTCTCAGCACTCCCAGTTCCCGTTTTGGAGCTCGCTAAAAACCATTACAACCCATGTGGTGGAGAAGCCAAATCAACCTCCTCTCCCCGTGACTGATAACATCCACCTCAGGGGTGGCAGGGAGGCAGAAAGCCCCTTCAGCTGCTTGTCCAGCCTCTCCTCTCCTTGCTCTGCCTTCTCCAAGCCTTTCCATCTCTTTTTCTTGGCAGCCCAATGACCCAGTGACGAACATATGCCAGGCAGCAGACAAACAGCTCTTCACCCTGGTGGAGTGGGCCAAGAGGATCCCCCACTTCTCCGAGCTCCCCCTGGACGACCAGGTCATCTTGCTCCGAGCAGGTGAGTGGGATGGGAGTGCTGCATCTCACTGAGACAGGTGTTACCCTTAGATTTAGGTCCTGGCAGCTTGAGAGCCTTGAACTGATCCTGAGTAACAGCCTCTGACCATTCAGTTTCTAAACAGGATTTAAAAAAGCCCCAGGGGACACCGTGTTGCTGAATGGGATCCAGAATGTTGCACCAGCTGCCAATCAGCTGAAAAATGACTTGGCTTCGTGAGGGGCTCAGAGATGGGTGCTGGGTGATTCAAACCAAGAGACTTAACGCTCTGCCTTCCTCCCAGACTGAGACTTGAGAGACCAAGTGGGCTTGGGCCTCCATGAAACTTCATCCAAACTAAGATGTTTGATCATAATTAAAACCAGAAAGGGGAGAAAAATCTATCACCCTCCTTCTCCCACCCACCAAGATGAAAACAAAACTCTCTGGGCTTATTTTAAATTTCCTTGTGCAGCAGGGGGGCTGCAGGAGCAGGATTTGGGAGGTGGAAAGCAGTTTGCTGGATAAAGGGTCTTCCCCCATCGAGTGAATTCAAGCCCCTGCTGCTGTACAAGGATCGTGGAGGGCAAGAAACCAAGAGCAGAGCTCAGGGAGGATGTGTTTTAGGCGTGAAGCTCTTTGTAAGCTGGGGACTTTGAAGTGCCTGGTAGTTTTAAAAGTTCCTCTTGTTTCCCCAAAATTCACTTTCATAGGGAATTCAAGAGGAGAGAACCCTGCAGAGTGTGGCTCCTCTCTCTGCACCCTTCTGGCCTCCAGGTCTCTGTAGAGAAGGTGCTGCTGATCCACCTTGATGGCAGCGTTCTGACTTTTTACCACAGAAAGTGTGTTCCCCCCAAATAAATCCCTGTGAAATCGGGCAGGAGAGTGTTGTAAGAACCAAGTGCAAGGTATTCACATCAGTGTCAGAACTCTTCTGGTCCAAGGTCTGTCCAGATTGCTTCAGGAGAAGGTGTAGGGACTCCAGGGTAGGAAGGTGATGGGATCAGTGTTTTTCCCTTCCCACCACACCAGCTCTAGCTACCTTTCTGTTTATTAGGGCTGACTGTAGCCCAAGTACATGAATCTTTAAACTTTCTGCAATTTTTTACTGACTACCAGCCAGTACCTTGACCCTACACACAGATACCCCGTTCCCCTCACAGCCTCTCTGACATCCTTGACCTCAAGAGTGTCTGGTTGTTTAGGTCACACTGTTTACTGGTGTGTGTTTTCCACTTACTTTACTGAAAGGAGATTTTTTTTTATAGTCACAGTTCATCTCGTGGCTACAGCAGTGGTCTGGGAATGGAAATTTTGGGGGGGTTATTCTTGCTGCAGACTTGGACAGGTCCTGCACCCTCCCAGGGTAACTCCTGCAACCCCTTGGGGAAGGTGCTCCCCTGGCTTTTCCATGGATGTGAGTATTACCAGAACTGGCTCCAGGCCCTCTATGGAATGCACAAAAGTGTGTTTTTGAAGAGGGTCTCTAGAGCCTCTCGTGAGAGTGGATGAGCAGGGAAGCATCTCTGCAGGAATCCTTGAGAGCTTCCTGCAAATATCTCAGGGAAGAGCTGGATTCAGACCAGATTCCCTTTGTGAAGTGGGACCAAAACCCACAACAGCAGTTCCTGGTTTTCCTTTCTCTTTAGAAGAAGCTGAGTGTTCCTGACCTGATGTTCTCCCCCTCGTGCTGGTGCTTGAGGGGCCACTCCGTGGAGCAGGAGCAGAGGGTCTGCAGACCCTGTCACATCCCGAACTTCACAGTGGCTCTAACCCCACGGGAATGAGGTTGCTGAGCACCTGCAGCAGCTCCAGTGGGCTCCCTGCTCCAAGTGTCTCTGCCAGGGCCTCAGATAACCTCCCCCAAGTCTTTTAACCAGTGGCTCTATGTATTATTGAGTGTGGAGAGCGGCCTGCTGAGAACAGCTGCCCATGAAATATTAAGGTATTAAAATTCAGCTAAGAGCGTCAGTCAGGTTCAGCCATGCATCCTGGGAGGCAAAATAAGTGGAGCACGCATCTTTGGATGGGCTGGCAGCAGCTTTCCTCAAATCCTGAATCATTTAAAAATATTCCCTCTCTGAGCTTTTTGGAGGGGAAGGAAACCTGACTTTTTAAGCCTGTTTTCCCCGTGTTTTCTCGTTTCCAAGCTCGCTAGGGCTGAGACAGGAATAGCCTGATGTTTTCTCAGCCTGGCAGAGGATGCTGAGCATTACATCTCTGCAGCTGCAGTTGGTTTTATGGGGCTGGGGGGGAAACTTGGCAGTGAGATGGATTGTCACGATGGTCACTGCGCTGCCAAGGTGCCTTCCCTATCCCAGAGGAGCCAGAGTATCCCTGGAGGCTGCACAGCCACCTTGTTTAGTGAGGAAGGAGTCACACAGATTGAAGAAATCTGCTCTGCTTCTCCAGGGCTTGGGCTCAAATGCAAAAATCTTGGACTAGACTTGTTTGGTCTCTTAACTCAGATTTTCTGCCTGTGGTTACACCTCATTTTTCCTGCTTGTCTCTTATTTTGTGAGCTCTTTGGGGATGTTCCGGTGAAAGGACCGTGTAAAAACAGCTTCCCCATTTCAGCTGGAACATCCCAGCTCTACATGGGAATAATTCAGCTGAAGGATGTTGATTAATTCAGTGCTCCTTCACTGGAATAAGCCCAGCTTGGAATGGATGTTGTGAGCCAGCTCTGGTTTTTGTTGGTTGGAGCCGCATGTGGAGCTGCTGTGGGTCTGTGTGTGATGGCTGGTGGGAGGCACCCCTGGCACCTTCCCGTGGGTCTGGCTCTGGGAGTTCCTCTTCATCCAGGGAACGCAGTTTCTGCAGGCTCCTGGTGCAGTCCCACATCTTCTCCTCCGTTCTCCTTGGGTTTCACGGTGTTGCAATCCCTGTGAAAGTGCCAGGCCTCACCCAGTAAATAGCCAAATAAATGTTCCCGTGATTGGGGTGGAAACATCCTGTGGCCACTTAGGAAAGAGTGAACTTTATTCCTTGTCAACATTTCTAATGGCACAACCCATGGCTGCAGCAGTAGGTAAATACAGCACACACGGACCTTGTGTTTGTTCCAGTCAGTGAGACACGACGTGTTCCTGTGGCAGGAGGGGTGAAGGATTGTTGTGTTGCTTTTCCAGACTGGGGAAAAAAAAAAACAACACTAAAACCAAATATCCTGATGTTTCTGGACCCTGCCAGGCAGCCCTATGCTCTGAACTCCAGGACATGCACTGGCTGGGTAAATCAGCCACGTGATGGGTGTTGCAGAAGAACCGTCTTCCCTTACCAAAAATGCTGCTCCTTGGTTGAAAGTCACCAGAATTTCCACCCTTCAAACTTTGCAGCGTTTCCTCTTGTTGTGGCTTTGTTTCAGGCATTCTTGAGCTGAGCCTGTCATGGATTTAGGAATTTAAAGAGGGGAGCTGGAAGGTGGGGAGGGCCCATCGCCCTTCCTGTCCCTGTAACTAGGTCTGGGCTCAGAGGATGTGTTTCCTATATCTCAAAGTAACACATCCAGTAGGTAATAAGACTAAAAGCTGATTCCCAAGCAGCTATGGAAGCAGTTAGAGGAGCAGTCATGGATGTGGGACACCCCAGTGCAGAGAGCAGACGCAATCCCTCCCACTATTTACGTGGCAGAAGCAGCAAACCCACAAGGCAGAGTTTTCCCGGTGCCTTTTTACAGAGCTGAATGATGGTGAATGAACTCTCGTGCCCTGTTATGGCCTGAAAATGAGCCCAATTAAGCGATAGAAAGCGTTGATAGGTGTGGAAATGCTCGGAGGCAGCGGGTGAGGGCAGAGGGGAGCGCAGGGCTCCACACCCACGCCGAGGTTCACAGCGAGAGGAGCAGGCAGAGCCGTTTGCTGCCGTGTCTGCTCGGTTTATAGAGGAAACTGCTTCCCTTATTAGCATTATATTTTTAGTACATTTGTTTCTTAATGGTTTTTTCCTTCCCTGACATCCAAGAAAAGGCTGGCTCCCTTCTCCCTTCCCGCATCCAGCCCCGTTCCTCTAGCGCGTTCCTCCTCTTTTTAGCACCGGGGAGGTGGTGTTGGTTCCCCAACCCGCTGAGGTGGCTCTAACCTGCAGCCTTGGTTGTTCTCTCCTCCCCAGGGTGGAATGAGCTCCTAATTGCCTCCTTCTCCCACCGCTCCATAGCTGTGAAAGACGGGATCCTCTTAGCCACCGGGCTCCACGTGCACCGGAACAGCGCGCACAGCGCTGGCGTCGGGGCCATCTTCGACAGGTGGGCAGAGGGAGGGAGGATAGATGGATGGATGGATGGATGGATGGATGGGTGGATGGATGGATGGATGGACGGATTGCATCTCAAAACACCTTGCCTGGACATCCCCATCTCTGTCTCTGCACCAAACTGCCTCCGTTCCCCACGTTGCAGCCTCGGAGGAGCCCAGGGCGAGGGTGTCCATCCCACGGCGTGCGTGGAAGTGTTGCGGTCCCTGCTGCAGGCAACAGCATTAAACCCTCCCCTTAAACCTGCAAAACCCAACAGCCCAGAACAGGGAGGAGGCTGCCCAGTGCAAATCAAAAAGCCTCTTTTCATGGGGTCCAGATGCCTTCTAATGTTACGAGGAGGCCACTCCTTTGTTTCTTTTCATCTTTAATTGGACCAAGACGCGATTTTATTTTCACAATTGAAAGGCACCAAAAATACTCAGCAGGTTCCACATGCGTGTCCCGAGGGCTCTTTAATCTCATGCTTTGGGAAAGTGTTTTAAAGCCAGACTTCCAGGGTGTTTGACCCACGGTGTGGCTCCAGACGCCGCTGAAATGCCGATTTCTCTGCCTGACACTCATCTTGAGGCGACTTAGTTGAAAGCAAATCACCTTCGGTGCTGTGCCTTGCAAGGAAATTGTTCTTCAGACCTGGGTGACATCATTTGTTCCTGTGAGGTCATAAGTGCAAGATCATGACTTCCCTGCAGGATCTAACATGAAAAACTGGGCAATCAGTGGAAAATATTTCAAGACCGGCACCTGCACTAGGAGCGAAGGGAGCAATAAAAATTACCGGCAGAGGAAATTACTTTTAGGTACCTGTTGGGGTGGGTTTTTATTATTATTTTTTATTTTTAGGCAGCTTTCTCAGGTGCCAGAGCCTCTCGGTAAATGGATGAAGGCAGTTTTTATGGCCCCTGTTGTATCTCACGGGAACTATTGGTGTTCCTAATGAGCTATTTTTGATAGAGGAGGAAGATGAGGCCACATCCTCAGCTGATACAAGCGAGCACCATGCTCTGGCTTTGTTAGCTGTGGCTGGAGGATCTCACTCTGGCTCTGACCGCCTGGGTGTTCTCATTTCTCTTTAACCCTGACGCCTGTGATTTCTGTGTCCTTTGCAGAGTATTGACAGAACTCGTGTCAAAAATGCGAGACATGCTGATGGACAAGACAGAGCTGGGCTGCCTGCGAGCCATTGTCCTCTTCAACCCTGGTACATGACTGTGTCTGCTCTCCTGTCCCCTCTTGGCTGATGCTCTGTCCTTTTGGCACTTTTTCTTCCCTGTAAATCTCCATTCCAAGTAGCTGAGGGCACCCCGTTACCAAGAACAGGGCAAGAAGGAAGAGAGGCGAGGATGAAAGCTAAATTAAGTGCTGCATGTGCTCTGCCACCTTACAGGCATGTCCTGTGCAGCTCAGGGGTGGATCTGGATCCTTACCAGTGCTGCTCTCCATTCCTCCCTTTTGCAGAATCACAGAATGGTTTGGGTTGGCAGCACTTTAAAGTTCATCCTTTCACACCCCCTGTCATGGGAAGGGACGCCTTCCACTATCCCAGGTTGCTCCTTGAACACTTCCAGGGGCAGCCACAGCTTTTCTGGGTAACCTATTCCAGTGTCTCGCCACCCTCCCGGGGAAGAATTTCTTCTTAGTATCCAATCTAAGCCTACTGTCTTTCAATTTACAGCCACTCCCCCTCGTCCTCTCAGCTTGCCCCCCTTTTAGAGTGACTCTGTGAGAAGAAAGTTCTAGTGCATGAGGGAATTATCCCTGAATCGAAACAAAATTGAATCTAGACATCCTTTAAGGGAAAAGTACAGATTAGAGCAGTGCTAGAGCACGGACATTATTGTCTCTGTTTCCTGATCTCATCCTCCAGGGGGTTTTATTACCCTTGTTTCTGGAAAAGCCCTTTGCAGACCTGAAGAGGGTGAAAGGCATGAAATGTGCTCATAAAATACACAAGAACTTGAACATTTGTCAGCAGTTTGCTTAGTTCCACAGACTCCAGCAAGGTTCATGCTGCTCGCTTTTTCCCCCCTGGCCCCAGCTGCCCGAAGGGAAGAAGGAGGTTCAGTGCCAGGGCTTGTCTCCAGCATTTTGGGGAGCAAATCCCTGTGCAGCAGGAGCCAGCTGGCAACCTGCACATACCTGCACAGCTCTGCTTGGAGGGTGTCTCTGTGTTTCAGAGCAGGTCAGTCCAGAGCAAGAAATCAGATGGAAGCCAAGGACAGACCTCCACAGCCACCCCTCCCCTCCCTTCCCTGCCCTCTCAGGAGCACAGTTTGTGCCCAAGCACGGCTCCTTCCCTGGATTTTCCCACCAAACCCAGGCCAGGCCGTTTCAGCAGGGTTTATTGCTGTTTCTTGGGTTTGTTTTTCTTCTTGACTTTTTTTTTTTATTATTTTTTTTATTCCCCCCTCTCTCCTTGTAATCACCAGTAATTTATTGTCTGTAATTTGGGATTAGCCGTATATGGTAAAAGAAGGGGAATCTGGAGAGGTTCCCGTGGCACATGTGCTTGGGGATATCGATTTCTTGACTGTCCCTTTCACCCTACTAAAAACAGATCCTCGCTGTGTCACGGGGGACCTGCCAGAGCCGGGGCTTCTCCTTTAGCCCCACCACAGGGCTTGTGCTGGAGGGAGAAATCCCACAAGCTCAGGACTTGAGGGGGGCTGAAACCCTTAAAATGAAGGACCACTGAAAGCAGTTAAGATGGTTGGAGTGAGGGTATGAGGTGGAATAAACCAGATCTGCAGTGACAGGGCAAACCCTTGAGGGCTTGAATGCTCCCCAGGAGTTGTTTGGTACTGCCCCCAACACCCAGGGCTCAGACCCTGCACCCACACTCTGCCCTGGTCTGGTGGTGCTGGGAATGATGGAGGAAGCTGGGGAGCTCATGGGGGGCCCTTGCCTGCCTGGAAAAGCTGGAGATTTTTTTTTTTTTTTTTTTTTGGCTGATGGTCTTTTTGTTGCCTTTCAGACTCGAAAGGTCTGTCGAACCCGGCCGAAGTGGAGGCGTTGCGGGAGAAGGTGTACGCGTCGCTAGAGGCTTATTGCAAACACAAATACCCCGACCAGCCCGGGAGGTGAGTCCCCCTGTGCCCACTCCTCCTGCAGCCTCACAGCCCAGGGAAACCCCCTGTGAAGGGTGCTGCATCCTGGGGCAGGTCTGAGGGATGTCCTCGGGGTCACACCAGCACGCAGCTGCCGGGTCCCTTCCGTTTGGGGCTCTCCGTTCCCGGCTCTGCTGGGAGTGAAGAATTCTCTGGCAGATAAACCCCTCATTTCTACCTGTGAGCACCCTCAGAAAATCCCCCTGAGCAGTGCAGAGAGGTCTTTATTCCCATGCCAGTAAATCCGTGCCGGCCAGGACAAGGTGGGCAGACCTGAGGAGCCCCAGCTCCCGCGGCCGCAGCAGTGGGATGAGCACATGTGGGAAGGGGGTATCGTTTCCCTTTTGGAAACCACGGAGAGCAAACCACAGCGAAAATAAGACTCACATGGAGTTAATTTTCGGTGGCAGATGAGCATCATTGCTGGGAAGTGAAAGCCTCAATTGATGCTCTTTTCTCCCCTCCCCGCCTCCCCCAATCCAGCTGGGAATGGGAGGGGGAATTAGGAATGCTTTCCTGGACGGCTCCGGAGCTGAGTGGGCGCATTTTCCCAGTTACAGCCTGAAGCTGGCAACTGCCAGTTAAGTTACTGACAGCTTTTTGAGAAAGCAAGCAAAGCAGTGGAAACTGCTACTGGTGGGGGGATATTGGGAAAAACAGCCCAAGCGACTGGGATTTGCATGTCACCTGCATTCCTGGTCTTGTGTGTCTGGATAAAAATAAGGAAGTTCTCACAGTAGTGAATGCAGTGGGCAGATCATGCCAATGGATGAGGAGGGGAAATGAGGGATGAGCACAGAGCACAGAGGAGGGGCGGTTACCTCTCCTTCCCCAGGTGGTTTGTGTGGACCCCAGGCCAACTCTCAGGCCGACTCCTCTTCCAAAAAGCGTTATTAAATTGCGTTTCTGAAGCAAATCCAGAGCCAGAGCCTGCACTTTGGCTGTTGTGGTGTTGCGGAAGAGCTGTGCTCACACCTGGAACGGGGAGAACTGGCCAGGAGCTCTCCTGGATCGTTCCCTGGTATCCACAGCCAGGTTGTGCTGCCCTTGCACATGCTGCTGGACAGGGGTGGGCAGGGCACTGTCACAGGGACAGCCCTGCTCTTCATCACCCCAAACACCACCAAGCTGCCATGCATGACTGAGCACAGTCACTGAACCACCAGTCCAAACCAGTTCCCCAGGGCTCTGCCTCCGTGCTCAGCGATGTGTAAGGGAGTGTTTTAGGGCCGGAAGCTGCACCAGGGGCTCTGGAGTTTAATCTCTCACTGGCTTTGATTGACCTTGGGCTAGGGACCTCTTTGTGTGTCCTGAGAGCCATGACAGGGCACTGCTGACCTCACCCCGTGTCTCCTACGGTGCAGGGCAATGGTGGGATAATCCCAGGTGGCTCGGGAGGGTTAACTCACGGGCTGGGAGTCCGGGAGTTGCACAAGAGCTCCGCGAAGTTCTCAGGAACTCTCTCCATCCTCCTGGTCTCATGGCACAATGTGATCACCATCTGAGGCTGGAAACAAGTTCTTCCTGTGGTTGAGCAAGCTCCTGCTCGAGCCACGACGGGTGCCTTCCCCTGCTCCACGCTGTGGGATCGCTGGGCTTCCCACCACTTCAGGTGCCTTCCAGTGCAGAGTTTGATCTGAGTCCCCATCCAGCAAGAGCTTGGGAGCACCCTGTAAACACCAAAAGGGAACTCCTCTGCAGCAGCAGGGCAGAGAGAGGCATTCTTAGGAAAAACCCATCCTGGCTCCCCCCACCTTGCAGCCCCTGCTGCTCCACAGGGTGCCTACGTGACACCCAGCAGCCGCAGGGAGTCGGGAATCAGGGCTGTTTTCTCCCCTCCCAGCCCCCAGCCCTGGCACAGTTGTGCTCCGGGCTGGTTATCTCACAGTTAAACATATCCGAGGGCTGGAGCCATCATCTGGTTTGGTTTAAAGTGAAACTTCCTGAATGGGATGGTAGGACTGATTTGTTTTTCCTGGCTCTGCTCCCGCTGTTCTCGCCAGCTCAGCAAAAAAAAAAAAAAAAAAAAAAAAAAGAAAGCAGGGAGAGAGAATTGTGCATGCATGTGTAATATCTGTGTGTTTGTGCATGTCTCTGTGTGTGTCTGTGTTTTCTGGAGGGTCCCCTTCTCTCTGGGTCTTTGCTTATGTTCAAACCCTGATTTTTGTAGCAGGAAAAGCAAATAACTACAGGACATTAAAGGGCTTTTTTGTTGTAAAGGGGATCACTCACTCAAGGGCCTTGTAAGCAGGAGGTGGTACTGGGAGGTGACATCCAGTTGTCACTCAGGGTATGGGCAGGCAGAGTGGGGCCACCCCAGGGTGCTCCAAAGCACCCTTCAGGAGCTGGTGGCTCTCTCCTGGCTCTGTAGCCTCTTGTCACCCTCAGACCCCAGCACACAGCAGCTTTTCCTTGGTATGGATCCATCGGGCTTGTCTCCACCCCAGCTGGCTCCTGCAGTGCTGCTGGCTCTCCCCAGCCCTCCTGGCTCTTCCCTGCCCATCCATCCAGCCCTGCTGCCTGTCCTTCTGCCTGTCAGCTCTTGCTGGCGTCACGAGGGTGACCTGATAGCATCTACCCCGGGCAGGGCAGGCTGGGGAGAAAGGGCTTTTGTTCTGCTGGGGCTCCTTACTGGGCCTGGAGAAGGGGAGAACCTCATGTCCTGGATGGTTTGCAGGGCTCCTTCCAACTTCTGTGTCAAAGCCCTTGTCTCCTTCCATTGGCTTCACCCTTGAGGTGCCTGCAGCCCGTCTGTCAGCCAGGTTTCTGCTGTGCCAGCAGCCCCAGGGCTCAGCTGCAGCTGAGGATGGCCAGCAACCCCACTGAGGGCTGGTGGAGCTGCCTGGGAGGTTCCCAGTGCCTGCAGGAAAGTGCCAAGCCAAGTGCCAGCTAACACCACTCACCATCTCCTCCATCCCTTTCCCGGCCGCTTGCCCTTTTCCCTGGCCAAAGATCCAGCTGCTGAAGCTGTTTGCACCTCTGCCTGTGCCAAGGCTGGCCCCATGGTGCCTCCTCCCCGTGGCTGTGATGTGGGGGACCCCACGAGCATCTCAGGGGGCTCGCTGGGTGGTGGTGCCCATGCACGAAGCCAGTGGTTTCACCCCAGTCCGGGGCTGACCTTTCATTTCTTGTTTTACCCTCTCAGCTCAGCTATCAGCACGTGTTTGTTGTGGATATCCACCGTGGCTGCCTGATCTGTCAAGGCTGGGGACATAATTAATGATTTCTCTGCACAGCTCAGGGCGTAGCCCCGTGTCTTTGGCAGCAGGAGGCCGTGTCTGCCTCCCAACCCTTCTGAGCTTTGGGGGGCCGGGTGGAAGCAGGGCTGGAGGTGGGGTGTCTGACCGTGCACGTGTCTCCTGTCCCCCCCAGGTTTGCGAAGCTCCTGCTCCGCCTCCCAGCCCTCCGGTCCATCGGCCTGAAATGCCTGGAGCACCTCTTCTTCTTCAAGCTAATAGGAGACACACCCATCGACACCTTCTTGATGGAAATGCTGGAAGCACCCCATCAAATGACTTAGAGAAACTGCTGCTGGGTCAGTCCCTCGCCCGGCCTGGGGGGGTCCCGCGGGGCCCCTTCCTCCGCTTTCCTCCTCCTCCTCCGCCGCCGCCGCCGCCCCAGCCCGTCCCTCCCTCCTCACCCCAGCGCCGGAGGCACCGTCTGATCCGGGGGGACCCCCCCGCCGTCCTCGCCTCCTCGTCGCCTTCACCCCTGTCCGTTTGCTGTCACTGCTGCATCTCCAGACCTGCTCGCTGGTCCCCTGCGCTAGATGTAGAGAAGTGGGAGCGGAGAGAGCTTGCCCCCCCCCCCCCCCCACCCGGCCCCACGCCGTGCCACGAGTTTTGGGATGAGCCACCAGCCGGGCTTGGCATCGCCCACCCCCACCCCACTCCGTGGGTGCCCCCCGGGGCAGGAGCGGGGACACGGGGACAGTCCCAGCCCTTTGGGGGCAGTGGGGTTTGGACAAGCTGAGGGGAGTGGCTGAACTCGCCGGATTGCAGCTGGCTATTTTCAGAGGATGGAGTTTTTTTGAAAAAGAGAAGAGGAAAAAAAAAAAAAAAAAAAAAAAAAAAACCAACCCCTCAAAAAAAAAAAATTCTATTTTTGGTTTCTAACTATTATTAGTAGTCTCGGTAGTTACTTTGCGGAGGGAGAGGCGGCCCGGCCGTGCCCCGTGAATGAGTCACCCGTGGCTGCACAGAGCCTTCTCCTTCCAGTTCAAAGCAGAGGATTTGGGATTGAGCTGAATCCCCCCTACATAAAACACGGGAACCGGTGGCACAGGGAGCTGGGTCACCCTCTGTGCAGAGTGTGCACCTCAAAACTCCCCCTCTGCCATCCCCAAGGGCAGCTGGGCATCGCCGCTCTTCCCAAAGATGCCTCTGCGCTGGGTGTGGAGCTGCCCACGCGGAAAGAGCCGGCTGGAGCACTTGCTTTAAGGCTGCCAGGGACTCCCTGTCGCCCTTCCCCAGCTCATGGGGGCCTGCTGGGACCCCTGCCCTCAGCACAGCATCCCGGCATGGCCCCAGAATCCCAGCATGGCCCCAACATCCTGGCACTGCCCCAGCATCCCAACATGACCCCACTCAGGGGTTTCGGCTCACCCAGGAGGCTGCTCCTGTTGTTTCAGCCGTGGAAAACACTGCAAGGCAACAATTAGTGGGAGTGCTTGGCCAGGCTGGTTAATTGCAGCTGTTAATTAGTGGTGAAGCAAGAACAGGGCTCCCCCTCCCCTGAATCTCCCCCGTCGGGCACAGATGTGGGGGCTGAGAGGTCCCAGCGGGGTGGGGAACACAGCAGCACCCACCCCTCTCCTGTCTGGGATACTGAGAGCGCCAAGAGCACCTTGGCTTTTGCACAGTCCTTTCCTTGAGTCTTGGTGTGACAGCAGGGAGATGGACAAGTTTTTGGGGATTAGGGACGCGGTTCCAGGAATGTACTCGCACCCCACAAGATGGGATTCCCCAGGGAATGTGTGGCGAGAGGTCAGCCAGGGATCCTTTCACCCTCACCAGGGGTCTCCAGTGCCTCACCAAACACATGAGTTGGAGTAAAAACAAAGCAGAGCAAGCGGTGAGGGATGTTGGGAAGGGTTTTTTCCCCTTGGCAGGATGGACTGTCCCAAACACACCGTGGGACAAACACTGCGAGCCAAGAATGAGGTGACTGTGGTTGGCCTGTGGCCAAGGACTTCCCCACCGCTTCCATGTCCTCTCTGCTTTAAAACAGCAAAGTATTTGGTCCCAAAAGTCCTCTTCTTGCTTCCCATGGGTTGTGGCTGGTTGAAAACACCTCCTTCGTGCCCGGGCAGGGATGGAGCAGCACCCACCACCTCACACCTCTGGTTCTGGGGGGACACAGTTGCCACCTGCCTGTTGCCACCCCACCTGGCAGCTGGAGTCCCCATCTCCATCCCCTGCAGCTCACCAGGCCATCTCACTGCTACAAAAAAATACTCAGGATTTCAGGTCAGAACTTCCCCCCCCAGGCTGGCCCGAAGTGGCAAATCCGCAGAGGCAGGGAAAGTGTTTTGGCTGTGTTTCCCCAGCAGCCTGCATGCCGCCGAAAATATTATTAAACAGCTTCACCCTGCAAGAATTTGCCAAGAAAACTAGGCAAGAGAGATGAAATCTGGAAAGGGTGCCAGGAAACACGAGCAGGCTGTTCCCTGCCAGCGTGAGGCTGGCGCAGCCCTTTGGGGGGTGCAGGGAGGTGTCGGCTCCCGGCAGGAGCTCAGCCCAGAGCCCACCCAGCCCCTGGGCAGACCCCAGCCCAGCTCTTCCAGCAGAAAGGAGCCTGGAACCTGCTCGCCAGAGAGGATGAGGATGCTTTGGGAAAGTTGGTGGTTATTGCACTAGAATAAACCCGCTGTCCTTCTCTGTTGGGTGGAACCACTTTCTTTTCCTTGTGGATGGCTTGGAAGGGGCTGTTTGGTGCTGGGTGCTGAGCTGTGGTGGCTGCAAGGTGCTGGGCTGCACGGTGGGAGCTCCTGTCCCATCCCATCTCATCCCATTCCATTCCATTCCATCCTGTCCCTTCCCATCCCATCCTATCCCATCTCATCCCATCCTGTTCCATTTCATCCCATCCCATTACATTCTGTCAGATTTATCACGTTCCATCCCATCTTGCATTCCATCCCACCCCATCCCATCCGATCCCATCTCATCCCATCCTGGTCCATCTCATCTCTCCCCATCCTATCCCATCCTACCTCATGCCATTTAATCCATCCTTTTCCATCCCATCCTGTTCCATTTCATTCTGTCTCGTCCCATCTCATGTCATTGAATCTCATCCCATCCCATCACACCCCATCCATCCCATCCTGTTTCATCCCATCCCATCCCATCCCATCCCATCCCATCCCAT